CATGCTTAGCTGAACGGAGCGGCCGTGTTTATTCCGTGACCGTTACACAGATGCTCAGCCTCATGCACATACGTGTTTAGATACACCTGAACCCCAGGCACACATAAAACACATGTATGCAGCTCTGTATTCCTCAATCCATCATTCAATGTATTTGTTTTTAAATGCAAGCGGTGTACGTACCTGAATGTGACCCGACATCCAGTCCCCTGTACAGCAGGGCTGAGTGAAGGAGGAAGAAGCAGTATAATGACAAGGAACATGCTGATAGGAGGAGAGGGAGCAGAGTGACAGAGGGATGATCTCATCACTGTGCTGCTGCTCCTTTTCACAGTCTCCAGGATGACCTGGGCTCAGAATGAGTGGGTTGAACGATGCTGGCCATCAGACTGAGGACATCTAGTTGAAGATAACAGTACTGCGGGGGGATCACTAGATTGAATAACACAAGCCGGGTGTGTTATTTTATCTTTTAATGGGGCTATTCGTCCCCTCTGTTTGCTGTGTACCCATCCCGTCCCCTCTGTTTGCTGTGTACCCTTCCCGTCCCCTCTGGTTGCTGTGTACCCATCCCGTCCCCTCTGGTTGCTGTGTACCCATCCCGTCCCCTCTGGTTGCTGTGTACCCATCCCGTCCCCTCTGGTTGCTGTGTACCCATCCCGTCCCCTCTGGTTGCTGTGTACCCATCCCGTCCCCTCTGGTCGCTGTGTACCCATCCCGTCCCCTCTGGTTGCTGTGTACCCATCCCGTCCCCTCTGGTTGCTGTGTACCCATCCCGTCCCCTCTGGTTGCTGTGTACCCATCCCGTCCCCTCTGGTTGCTGTGTACCCATCCCGTCCCCTCTGGTTGCTGTGTACCCATCCCGTCCCCTCTGGTCGCTGTGTACCCATCCCGTCCCCTCTGGTTGCTGTGTACCCATCCCGTCCCCTCTGGTTGCTGTGTATCCGTCCCGTCCCCTCTGGTTGCTGTGTACCCATCCCGTCCCCTCTGGTTGCTGTGTACCCATCCCGTCCCCTCTGGTTGCTGTGTACCCATCCCGTCCCCTCTGGTTGCTGTGTACCCATCCCGTCCCCTCTGGTTGCTGTGTACCCATCCCGTCCCCTCTGGTTGCTGTGTACCCATCCCGTCCCCTCTGGTTGCTGTGTACCCATCCCGTCCCCTCTGGTTGCTGTGTACCCATCCCGTCCCCTCTGGTTGCTGTGTACCCATCCCGTCCCCTCTGGTTGCTGTGTACCCATCCCGTCCCCTCTGGTTGCTGTGTACCCATCCCGTCCCCTCTGGTTGCTGTGTACCCATCCCGTCCCCTCTGGTTGCTGTGTACCCATCCCGTCCCCTCTGGTTGCTGTGTACCCATCCCGTCCCCTCTGGTTGCTGTGTACCCATCCCGTCCCCTCTGGTTGCTGTGTACCCGTCCCGTCCCCTCTGGTTGCTGTGTACCCATCCCTCCGGGGAGCAGTGTACCCGTCCCATCCCTCCGGTAAGCTGTGCAACCATACCGTCCCCCGGGGGTAGCGGGGCTCCATTTGAAATAAGTACATTTTTTTGCTGTCGCCGAAGGGTTAATCTGTTCTGCTGACCACTTGTGGGCCGGGATGAACTGTATATGGTGTTGCGCAATGGCGTGCTAATATTCCATACTTAGAGGAGCGGTAAACAAATGGAACACATGCTGCGCAGAAGTGAACGGAATGTGCGGTGAGTGAAAGCAGGTTGTCCAAACCTCTTATCTCAACACCCGAGCTTGGAAAGCCTGTGCCTCTCTCCAGTGACAAATATTAAGGTGACACTGTGATAAGGGGACACTGTTCTGTGTCACTCATGCTGCTGTCAGTGTCAGTCGTTCTCCAGCTGATAAATGAAGTAATGAGGTTCTGTCACTCTCTTCTATTGGAGATTACACTGGAGCCGCACTGCCCTCTAGTGGCCGCAGAGCTGCAATAGCTTTCCAGCTGGCGGGTTGTCTGCTTGTCATGCATCAAGTGGTATTAGTGGCACATCAGCACTGATCACCCAAAAACAAAAAATAATAAAATGAGAACATCTCATACAACCTGTGAATGTAAACTTCCCCCGGAAAGCGTTCACTCCAATTTCTGAGCGCGGCACAAAATGTCAAGTCAATCAGTAAAACCTCATAGAAGCGTTCACATGTTAATGTCATTTCAAAGCTGTTTTCATTTTTTTTTCCGACGGCTTTTATTAAAATAATCCCTGGTGATCCTAGCTTCCTGTTATGGGGTGACAATGCTCTGTCCCCCAGTTGGGCTCCTGCGTTGTCACCTTGTCCCATGGTGGAGGCTACAAGTGGCCGTGCTGTGACACACGTTGTGCGTGGCCTTCTGTTGTCACTATAAGGAAGCCAGTACAGA